TTTTTTCGTTAAATATTTTTCAGGTCTTGTTTAATATTTTTTTTTTTTCTTAACTAAACTTTAATAATTGTTGTTTTTATAGTTTTTTTCTTATTCCCACACTTTTTAAAGCGCCCGTTTCTTTGCGTTTTTCCGTAACTTAACAACCGTTGTTAACACCAGACCGCACTCAACTGAATAAAATTGTTTAAACTTAAATGTTTAAACTTAATGTTGTGTTGGACATTTTAGTTGGTTCATACCAACGGTAAAAACCCATATACATACACCTCTTGCATTTGTTTTGAAATGTAAAATCATAAACTCTCTTCTTTTTCAATATTATTGGAGTAGAGTTTGTTTGGTTAGGTTATGGAGCAACAAAAACTAACTTAGTGCTCACTAGAGGAATATCTTATCAGAGATGCGAATTTGGAGATGACAAATTGTACCAAACAATTGTACCAAAACGTCACATGAAATTTAAATATTTAGAATCTGAAAAAATCTACTTTTGATAAGTAGTGTAGATTTGGTTAGAAAATTTTCGGTTTATTTTGTGTTAAACACAAACTCTAATTAATATTAGTTAATTTAAATTTAATGAATTTAAAGTTAATCTTCTTATGCTGTTTTGCATACTAGTTGAAACATAACAGTGTTTCCATAGACAACAACAGAAAATGTCACTATGGTCCATCAGGTATGTTTTATAAAAAAGAAGAAGACAAATTAAAAGTCAGAGGGACGTTGTTAATTGGGTTAAAAAAGTATTACAGTTATAGGTATCGTCTTTAAAATCTGTTATAATTAGTCAGTTTGAATGTTATAAATTATTAATAGGTACCTAAGTCAATTGTCCATTTATCCCCTTTATTTCATTACTGTTATTTTATTTAGTAAGTTGTTTGGCCAGTTTTTGCCTGCAAATTTTAGTTTCATTTCGTATTTTATTTTTCAATCAGATGTTTGTTTTGGTTTCTGTTTGTTTTTATATAAAAAAAATTATTTTCTCATTTCGATTTACATTTATAAATCACCTTTCCCATCTGAGTCATTCAGACTTAATAAATGTAAGCATCAGCAACAAGTGGGCATTTTAAAACTGCTCAAAGACTTCTAAAGACAAAGAAAATTGGAATATTAAAAAAAGGACTATGACAAAATGACGTCATCTGAAATTCGAAAAGTGGTTCTTGAAGTAAAATAAAACTTTTGGCCAAACCAATATTAAAGACATTAATATGCTTCTTTATAAAGTACAGTAAAGCACGCCTTTGTTGGACACCGAATTTTCAGTTAGTTAGGTAGTTAGTTAGTTAGTTAGTTAGTTAGTTAGTTAGTTAGTTAGTTTAGTTAGTTCGTTAGTTAGTTCGTTAGTTAGTTAGTTAGTTAGTTAGTTAGTTAGTTAGTTAGTTAGTTAGTTAGTTAGTTAGTTAGTTCGTTAGTTAGTTAGTTAGTTAGTAGTTAGTTAGTTAGTTAGTTAGTTAGTTAGTTTAGTTAGTTAGTTAGTTAGTTAGTTAGTTAGTTAGTTAGTTAGTTAGTCAGTTAGTTAGTTAGTTAGTTAGTTAGTTAGTTAGTTGGTTAGTTAGTTAGTTAGTTAGTTAGTTAGTTAGTTAGTTTTGTTTGTTTGTTTGTTAGTTAGTTAGTTAGTTATTAGGTAGTTAGTTAGTTAGTTAGTTAGTTAGTTAGTTAGTTAGTTAGCTAGTTAGTTAGTTAGTTCGTTAGTTAGTTAGTTAGATAGATAGTTAGTTAGTTAGTTAGTTAGTTAGTTAGTTAGTTAGTTAGTTAGTTAGTTAGTTAGTTAGTTAGTTAGTTAGTTTAGTTGTTAGTTAGTTAGTTAGTTAGTTAGTTAGTTAGTTAGTTAGTTAGTAGTTAGTTAGTTAGTTAGTTAGTTAGTTAGTTAGTTAGTTAGTTAGTTAGTTAGTCAGTTAGTTAGTTAGTTAGTTAGTTAATTAGTGTTAGTTAGTTAGTTATTTAGTTAGTTAGTAGTTAGTTAGTAGTTAGTTAGTTAGTTAGTTAGTTAGTTAGTTAGTTAGTTAGTTAGTTAGTTAGTTAGTTAGTTAGTTAGTTAGTTAGTTAGTTAGTTAGTTAGTTAGTTTAGTTAGTTAGTTTAGTTAGTTAGTTAGTTAGTTAGTTAGTTAGTTAGTTAGTTAGTTAGTTAGTTAGTTAGTTAGTAGTTAGTTAATTAGTTAGTTAGTTAGTTTAGTTAGTTAGTTAGTTAGTTAGTTAGTTAGTTAGTTAGTTAGTTAGTTATTAGTTAGTTAGTTAGTTAGTAATTAGTTAGTTAGTTAGTTAGTTAGTTAGTTAGTTAGTTAGTTGTTAGTTAGTTAGTTAGTTAGTTAGTTAGTTAGTAGTTAGTTAGTTAGTTAGTTAGTTAGTTAGTTAGTTCGTTCGTTAGTTAGTTGTTAGTTGTTCGTTCGTAGTTAGTTAGTTCGTTCGTTCGTTGGTTGTTCTTAGTTAGTTCGTTGTTCGTTCGTTCGTTTGTTCGTTAGTTCGTTTCGTTTTTAGTTCGTTGTTCGTTCGTTAGTTCGTTCGTTCTTAGTTTTCTTTCGTTCGTTTTCGTTCGTTAGTTCGTTAGTTCGTTAGTTCGTTCGTTCGTTAGTTCGTTCGTTCTTTCGTTTGTTCGTTCGTTGTTCGTTCGTTCGTTCTTCGTTCGTTTTCGTTTCGTTCGTTCGTTCTTTCGTTCGTTCGTTCTTTCTTTCGTTCGTTCGTTCTTTCGTTGTTCGTTCGTTCGTTTCGTTTCGTTTTTCTTCGTTCGTTTTCGTTCGTTCGTTTTGTTCGTTTTTCTGTTCGTTTCGTTTCGTTCGTTCGTTCTTTCGTTCGTTTCGTTCGTTTTCTTCGTTCGTTCGTTCGTTTCGTTCGTTTCGTTCGTTCGTTTCTTCGTTCCTTCTTTCTTTCGTTCGTTCGTTCGTTTCTTTCTTCTTTTTTCGTTCTTTCTTTAGTTCGTTCTTCGTTTTCGTTTCGTTCGTCCGTTCGTTCGTTCGTTCGTTCGTTCGTTCGCTCGCTCGTTCGTTCGTTCGTTCGTTCGTTCGTTCGTTCGTTCGTTGTTCGTTCGTTCGTTCGTTCGTTCGTTCGTTCGTTCGTTCGTTCTTTCGTTCTTCGTTGTTCGTTCGTTCGTTCGTTCGTTCGTTCGTTCGTTCGTTCGTTCGTTTCGTTCGTTCGTTCGTTTCGTTCTTTTCGTTCGTTCGTTCGTTCGTTCGTTCGTTTCGTTCGTTTCGTTTTCTTCGTTCGTTCGTTCGTTCGTTCTTCGTTCGTTCTTTCGTTCTTTCGTTTCGTTCGTTCGTTCGTTCGTTCGTTCGTTTCTTCGTTCGTTCGTTCGTTCTTCGTTCGTTCGTTCTTTCGTTCGTTCGTTCCTTTCGTTCGTTCGTTCGTTCTTTCCTTCGTTCTTTCGTTTCGTTCGTTCGTTCGTTCTTTCGTTCGTTCGTTTCGTTCGTTCTTTCGTTTCGTTCGTTTCGTTCGTTCGTTCGTTGTTTCGTTCGTTCGTTCTTTCGTCGTTTTCTTCTTTCGTTCGTTCTCGTTTCGTTAGTTAGTTAGTTAGTTTAGTTAGTTAGTTGTTTTTTTTATTTGTATGGAGTTTATTTCTATCAAAAATTGTTATTGTTTACATGTTATATCTTATTTGTTTACATAATTGTGTCATTTTTGACAGTAATCTTATTCTAGTACAAAAACAATATCCATGTTGTTTTGTATTGTTGTAGTGATGCAGTCACCTCTCTAACTATGCCACGGTTAGTAAACTACCTAGAAGACTAACCTACAAAAAGCATCCATAATTTCACTGAAGATTTAAAATTCTTCTAAAAATAATTTACAAATCACTAAAAATTTAATTTTTGTTTTAAAAACAAAGTTTTTCACTAAAATTCAAATATTTATTAAAAGTAAATTTATTCACTAAAAATTCTAATTTTTATGAAAAAATAAATTTTTTACTAAAAGTTTACATTTTTATCAAAAATTACTTTTTTTCACAAAAAGTTTTATTTTTTTTTGTAATTCAAATTTTCATTAAAAAACAAAATTTAATAAAATGTTTACTACATATTTAAAAAAAATGATTTTTAAAACAAAAATTTTGTTTTGAAGTGAAAAAAATGTTTAAGACTACTAAAATTTTTTTCAAAAGCTTTAATTTAATTCAACTTATTAAAAATATCTCACCCCTATAATTAACTGTGTATAGTTCAAATTCCAATCCTACCGTTAATTATCTACTTCCTCCACTATCAACTACTCAAAAACACAACTCTGTACCCAATAAAAAACATAAATAAAAACTTGGCAGCACTATTCTGATTAAATGTCACATAATTCGTGACATTTATTAATTTAGTGAAAAAGTGAGAAAAAACACATCTGACTCGTAGAAAATTTCTAGTTTTTTACGTATAGTAATTAAAAAAATTAATAAATTCCAAAATAAAATTACATTATGCTTAAAACATTCTTAATAGGGCTTTTAGCCTTATGCTCGCTACAATGTCTCATCCAAGCTGAAATGATTATACAGGACGAATTGGTGGTAAGAAAATTTATTTTCATTTAATTTTTCTGTGTAAATTAATTAAATATTTAACTGTAGGATGAAGTATCTGGCTTGTACACCATCGAGGGTAAAGTCTATCCACCAGAAATACAAATGGGCATGAGTTATAATCCCAGCGCAGCTCAACAAAACAGCAATAACAAATGGCAGACAGAAAACCGTATTGACAATTAATGGCGGCGAATATAAGGGTTTTATAAGAGAAGATGGTTCCTTTGTTATTAGCTCAGTGCCCTCAGGTAGTTATGTAGTGGAAATTTATAATGCAGACTATTTCTATGAACCCATTAGGGTAGAAATTAATCCCAAGGGTAAATTCCGTGCCCGTAAGGTGAACTATGTACAACCCTCACAAATTGTACAAGTACCTTATCCTTTAAAACTAAAAGCTTTGACTAGATTTAAGTACTTCCAAACCCGTGAACAATGGAAGGTAAGTGTTCTTATAAAATTAGATGGATTAGATATTAATACTTAAGATACATATTTCAGATCACCGATTTCCTATTCAGTCCCATGGTCTTGATGATGGTTTTGCCTTTAGTATTAATGTTGGTTTTACCTAAGATGATTAACGATCCCGAAACTAAAAAAGAATTGGAAAATATACAATTCCCCAAAATGAATAACGAAATGCCTGAAATAAGTGAAATGTTCACT